CTGTTCATAGAAGTTCTTGGTGCTTTTGTGTTTTTCTTTCCAGTGTTTGATTTCCTAACTTCTGGTAGCCTTTCATCAAATACTTGTTTGTGCATGTTATGGTATTTTTCATAATTTGTAAAACAGCTCTCTGAAGATTTCTTTCACCCATGAGAAATAAGTTTTTTTTTGTAAACCTATGCATATGCATTCAAGGAATTATCAACAGTTGCCTTGATAGGTAATATGGTAATTGTACGTATTAGTGAAGAAAATATTTAAAGTTGACAAGCACTTTAATTTTTTTTTTTTTTTTTATGTTTCAACAACGCACGATGAGCAAGTTTAAAACATTTTAATTCTTTTTTTCTTATGAATTTGTTTTTAAAATAAATATTTTGATACATTTAAAAGTATGGCTTATTAAATTCATGCTGTGTATGTGTAAAATATAATATTATAATTCAGTGTGAATATTTGTTGTTACTTGTAAAGGACTTCTCATTAACTCTTCATTAAGCTGAAACTAATTTTTAAGAGATAATGGCTGTGTGTTTGAGTCTATATGCTAATGACTATATTCCAGGTGTGTAGAAGTTGAATGAAAAGCACAATCTTGAAATATTTATGAATTGTCACATTTTACAAAACTTTAATCCTCTAGTGTTGCTTCCAAAATTGTATTTTCATTTTAAGACTTCTCACTGCTAAGATAGATTGTTTATTACCCCTAAAAGATGGTATTTCATAGTAAATGGTAAGAATTAAGATACATTAGTGAAAAAAAATGTTTTATCTTCATAAAGTTTAAATTGTTTTATCAAATCTTGGTCCTGTTTTATGATGATATGTGAAACTGACAGACTTGTAAGTTTATTCCATATGTCTGCAATATATGCAGGAAAATTATACTTCTTCTAAACTTCTGTCCTGAGATTTTATTTTCACTGTTTTACTTGTAGCTAAATAAAATCTCCGGAACTTTTCACACTTAATCAGATTAAGAACCAAGGCATCTCAAGAGCTGAACTTGTAGTCTGTATTAATCTTAATAGTTTTTGTATGTCTTTTTAATTTTAAGTTAAATTTCCAGTATGCCTCACTTTTCAAAATCAAGCATTTGTATCCCAAAATACAGTTTTTTAAGTTGTATTTTTTAATAATGAAAACTAGTATGATGTGCCACATCATACCTTACATATCCAAGTGGAATTTTGAAAACAAAGTTCCTGTTGGTAGTTGGGCAGGCATCATATACTTATTTCTTAATGGCTTGCTTTATGCTGAACCAAAATGCAATGCTGTTAGTAGTTATTTCTTTATTCATTTTTCAAATAAATCATATACATACATGCATTTGATAATTAGAAGATAAAGACTAAAAAATTTATTTATAAGCTATGCTAGTTTAAAGTGTTCAGATTTTTTTTTCATAAGACGCTTCATTCTGTAAGAGAAAGAAAGAAAACTAAATAAGCCATAAATATGATTTCTGTAACATTTTGTTTAACAATTTGATGCATAGGAATTTCTTAGTCATTCTAAAGTAAGCTTGTGTCCTAGAATGTTTTAATCTTAAAATCCTAAATATGCAGGTTTAACATAATTCACATAATTCTTGAAAATTGGTCATAAGATATAAGCTCAAAAAAATAAGAAAAAAAACACTATTAGGTATGTACATAGAGATTAATTAGTAGTTCTTCTTACAATTGTTATTATTCTACTTGAAAAGGGGAATATGTAGAGATAATTACAATAAATACAACTCTAGGTGATCAGGTTTTCATGTTTGTAGGAAATCCCTTGCTCACTGTATTTTTGTAAGTTATTTTAACAATTATTCTTTTACAAATCCATAAGGGACAAGTAAGATAAATTAGGATTTTTTTTGCCAATTACAAAATCCAGTTCATGACTCAAAAAGAAATACAGCTTGCACCTGAAAAATCTATCAGATTTTAGGTTCTGCAAGTAATACCACTAACTTTGATTATCAGAACCTTACGAGTTTTTATTTGTTTTAATCTTTAAAAAAATCTATTGTTAACATTGAACCCTGTAATTGTGCTTTTAGTTTAAGCAATTGGTGGTGACAATCTTAGCTTTAGGCATAGAGGAGCTAAGGTGAATAGTACAGCACCATCTCATATGCTGTTCATTTCATGATCATAAATATGAATATAAAAAAATTTCTAAATTGTAATAAAAAGTACATTATATCTAACAAAAGCCTTAATATCTAAGTCTATAATTAACAACAGTATATCTCTGCTGTAAAGATAATTTAGGAGTCTTAAATATAATAAAATGGTATGACTTATTCAGTCGTTTAGGGTTTTTCTGTTGGATTGAATAAAGAATTCAGTGTTTAAAATACAACAAACAGTATATCTCTGCTGTAAAGATAATTCAGGAGTCTTAAATATAATAAAATGGTATGACTTATTCAGTCGTTTAGGGTTTTTCTGTTGGATTGAATAAATAATTCAGTGTTTAAAATACAACAAACCTAATGCTGTTGTCTTATGACAAGTATAATACTTTATAATCATGCTGCACCAGCAAAAGACATTCACACCATGACAATTGATATGATTTAGTCTAGTCAGGTCAGGAGCATTGAAGATAACTGTTATAAACTAGCCTGGTTATGAGTATTAAATACAGGAAACTGATATGATCTAATGTAGTCAGTAGTATTAAATATAATCATCATCATCATCATCATAGACAGCAGTACATCGATAATTCTACCGATGCTTAGCTGCCACACAATCATGAAATATAATAAATTGATATGATCCAATGTGGGCAGTAGTATTAAATATAATAAGTTGATATGATCTAATGTGGTCAATAGTATTAAATATAATAAATTGATGTGATCTAATGTGGTCAGTAGTATTAAATATAATAAATTGATATGATCTAATGTGGTCAGTAGTATTAAATATAATAAATTGATATGATCTAATCTGGTCAGTAGTATTAAATATAATAAATTGATATGATCTAATGTGGTCAATAGTATTAAATATAATAAACTGATATGATATGATCTAATGTGGTCAATAGTATTAAATATAATAAATTGATATGATATGATCTGTACCATCTAGTACAAAAAAAAAGAAAAATGACTTAATTGTTTGCAGCTACACCAAGTTCCTGTTAAGTATTAATTTCCAGCTCCTGCTATGTGTTTCATCCATAAATATTGTCCTGTTGATGAGTTAGAAGTGTATGCAAAAGTTAAGATTGTAAAATGAATCTGAGATCAAATAGACCAACCAAATGGTTATCACTAGCACCTTGGTCCATATCAAGGCTTAAATAGTATAAGCTTATTACTCCTGTTTTGTTAACTTGAATTGTGTAGCTATATATATTTATTTACTTGTGTGTATGTATTCATATTTATAAAACAAATAAAGATTGTGTAAGATGTGGTTAGTTTGTATTAGGACTAAAACTTCCTTCTCAAAATGAATGAGTTATAGCAACTTGTTTGTATACCATAGATTAACATAAGAAGCAATTTGTTCATATAATGTAATGTTACATTTGTAACAGTTTGTTTATACAATGTAGTATTCTAAACTTCTAGCACTTTTTGTAGAATGTACTACTACACTTGTAGCAGCTTCTTTATACACCATAGAAGTATGTTAATAACTTGTTTTATGTTGTAATATTACACTTTTAGTAATGTGCTTATATACTGTAGAATAACTTGTAACAGCTTGTTTATACACAGTATTGTTATACACTTTTAATAAGTTGTTTGTAGAATGTAGTATTACTCTTGTTGTTGCTCGTTTTAACACAGTACTGTTACACTCATAGTACTGTTTGCTGTAATATTACACTTGTAGCATCTTGTTTATACACATTAATATTCTACACTTTTATTAAGTTGTTCGTATACTGTACTATTACTATTATTGCTACCTATTTTAACTTAGTACTATTACACTAATAGTACTTTTTTTTTACTGTTGTTACATTTGTAACAGTTTGTTTATAGACATTAACATTAAACTTGTAACAGGTTATTTATACATAGTAGTAATTTTACTCTGATGTTAATTTATATACCTCCAAATTACATTTGTAGCAGTTGTTTTATTATATTGTAGTTTCACAGTGATATAACTACCAAATATGTATTTAAGCTTTTAAAGATAAGTGATTAAATTTTTTTAACTTTTTTTTCCCTACAAATAGAATTTGTATCAAGTAGAATTATTGAAACTTAGTACTGTCTTTCATTGTTATTTCTAGTTTGAAGGAACAGTTTTCAAACACTTTGACATCATTGTTGTTCATAGATTATTTTGCTGAGCAAAATATTTTGAAGTCTTGTGGGCATGAGTAGTTTTATTTGAAATAGCTGACATAGCAGTCCAATATTTTTTTTATGCTTCCAGATGTATCACTACGTAATCATTTATTTTTGCCATTATTTAAGTACACTATTTTTAAATGGAACTTGATGGAAGCATAGCTACAGAATGTAGATTAATTATGTCAGTAAGTTTCAAACAAAACTGTGTGGAGCAGATATTTTAAAAGCTGAAATGGCTGCTGTTACTTTCAATTGTATTGCAAGTTGTTTTAATGTATGGTATTAATGAAGCACAGAGTACAGGAAAGCTCTTACATTTGTTCTCGTAATTATAACTCTAGTATGTAACAAAATATTATGGTTTGGAATAAGGATAGCTTGGATCAGTAATATTTTCCAATATTGAGTTAGTTAAGTTGATGGTAGATTTAACCAAATTTTAAACAGATTTCGTAGTGGAGATTTGTTGCTTTGTACAATCAAAACTAGACTTTGACTGGTACTGTAATTTTATACAGTTAAGACCAGTGTGTTCATGGTAGTAAACTTGTTACTCCAAGCAGTAAAATCAAGCTGTTCACAATAGAGAATTTATTAAAGACCAAGATTTATATGATAAATTTATTTTGAATTAAGCTCTGTATAATATATAATGACTTTCATAATATAGAACAGTGTTTCCCAACATTTTCAAGCCCAGGCATACCAACCAACTACCCTAATCTGGACTTATGAAAACTCAGCCACTTGACACTTATTTCCATGTGGACTACAAAGTCATTGGAGTGGAGCGTGGATACCACCCCATGCGTACATACCAAAAAAGCAAGACAGAATATGCTTTGGTTCTGTCAACAAAACATCCATATAAATCATAAGTTTCATTTATTTATTTATTTTTCTTGTATATGACTTTTCTAAAATTCCCAGGCACATCTGATGCATGCCAGTTGGGAAGTGCTGATGTAGACAGTCATAACAATTAAGACCAAGCTTTATATGGTAAAAAGTTTATTTTGGATTCATCCCTGTGTTGTATATAATGGCTTGATTGATGTAGAAAATCAAAATCATAACAAGACTGAGCATGGTAGAGAATTTTATTTCAGTGAACTCTTTAGAAATATTGCACCCACAAATGTGTAGTTGGTTTAAAATAATTTTTTTTTTCTTACATATAAGAGCATTAACTCTTCTAAATAAACTGTTTTTCTGTCACTTTCAAAAAAAATTAAACAAGAAGGTACAGTGTTACAGAATTTAAAAGAAAAAAATAACGTTTTTAATTCATGCTTTATTAGGAAGCATTCAAATTATTCAAAGTTCTTGAGTGGATTAAAATTTTTAAACTAATATACTTAGGTTTTATTTCCGTTAGGACAATTTATTATATATATCCCATTTTTCTTTCCTGGTATTGTTTCAATATTGTTTTTGTATATATCAAAGTATTATTTACATGTTTGAACCAGTTATAGCATATGTAGATAGATTTTGTCATTAGTATTTAAGTATAAAATTAATTTAATTATGGAAAGTAACATTACGTTTTACCTTGAATCTAGCTTGCTGTGAATTAGGTTTTTTTAACATCAAAATAGGGTATTGACGAAATACTAGGAAATGTTTACAAGTTAATTTCACATTTTGTATGGCTGGTTTTGTGAGTGTTTGGATGATCAGAGTTTGCCAGTTCTGAATATACACAAATATTAAGTTTGAAAATCAGATTTACTTTACATTAACTAAGTTAACCGCACGTTTGTATTACTTAAAGGTGAAATATTATTATTCAAAAAATTTTAAATGGTTAAACCAGGGATTCCCAACCTTTTTGTTCCTCTATACCCCCTGGGCATTCTCTCCCAAAGCACTAATGGAGGGAGAAGAGCTTGCCCAGTTGGCTGATCCCTAGTTTATCAGCTGATTTGTAACGAGGGTGCTCTATATTGCTTATGTTCTACATTACTTATTGAAAACGTGAGTTATAATGTAGCACAGCAATAACATCACAACGTTCACCATGATCACAACTTTTTGTCTAAAGAGCGTATATTTATGTAAGTCACTTTGCTTTCTTTGTCTGACTGTAGATTAAAACACCATGTAAAGTGTAAACCAGGGTTATACTCTCAGACTCCTTTGTACCTGAAAAGTGCAGGTTGGGAATGTCTGGGTTATACATTCGCAGTAATAGAAAAACGCTCAGATGAATCTTATATCCTGTTAATGAGACCACGTGAGGCGTAGGAGTTAGTGGCTAGACTTTGGATTCGAATTTCTACGGTCGGCGTCCAGATATCGCAGAAAAAAAAATAGAATCGCGCCCTGCAATTTGGAGTCGTTCATGTGTTATAAGAGTGGTTGTCCAATCCCATTTTAAGTAGAGTAGCCCAAGAGTTGGCGCTGTTGACTAGCTGCCTTCCCTCTAGTTTATCGGTTTAAAATTAGGGATTGCTGGTGTGGCTTTGCGCGCATATCCAATAAACAAACAGTACTCATATTGAATGTCTGTGCCACTCTTATATAGTGGTAAACGCGACGTAATGAAATCATTATAGGCTTTCTAACCCTTCTAATGGGTTATTCATTAAAATCAGTTTATTTGTTGAATCATTGACACTGAAAAGTGCTTCAGCTATGATGCCTCTTTTGTTTCGTCATAAAGAAATTGATCACACAAAACTTTCTTGGATATGCCCTTAGAATTAATCGAGAATGTGTTAGTTTGAAATTTACGTTATTCACGTCGATGTCTAACAGTGGGAGTGTATTAAAAAGAAAACATTAAAAGTATTTGCGATTTCGTTAAATAATGCTTACATTCGGACCAAACAGTGTAAAATATTTCCTCGCAAAAACAAGTAAACAAATTTATTATTAAGGTTTAAAGAGAACTAAAGAGTAATAAGTAAGACATAAATTAGTTTCACGTGCTTACAGGTTAGCAATTAAACTTGTATTTCTAATTACACGAAATGTTAATCATATATGAGAAGAAAAAAATGAGATTTCGTTTAAGAATAATAATATTATGACAGCCATAATGTTTTGCTACCTACATATTTTGAAAACTGAGTTATATAATGAATGTAATGTGATTTGAGAACAAGCTTAGTGAACGGTAAACATTTGTTTCACGTATTTTTTATTTTTTAAAGATGTGCCTTCCTAATGATCACGACGTTCAACTGTTTTCTGGTGTAAAAAATATTACTTTTTTTATGGCATTGTTACTCATTTCTCACAGAATTTTTCCGCTGCCAATAGTATCTGCTCGCGAGAAGTTGACGACTCCGCTTCACAATTACAACAGTCATCATATCATGCCCTGTTAGAAATGATGAACAGTGAACGTTAAACAACGAAATCTGATTGGTCAATAAGAAGTGTCTCTCCATATCTTTCGTGAATCAGTTAACTTGTTTCCAATTTAAGTAACAGATTTTCTACCTCTACTTTTTGTAGCAGCTACAAGAAGTAACGTATTATCAACTACTCGGATTTGATTTTGTTGTTTTATATCACTTGAAAATAGTAAACTATTAAGCGAATATTATGCATTCGCAGTTTTCACATATTATAAATGCTCACGTTCTTCCTCACCATATGTATAGTTGGAGCACGAATGCTCAGTTCAGTGAAGTCTTATTTCAGTGATGTTTTATGCTTTTTGACGGTACAAATGTGAAAAGGCTGAAAATATTCTTTCTGTAACTCGTTATTTAGGGACGTCTGGAAGAAATATGTTTGTCATTGTTTTGGTTCATGTCAGTGTGAAACGTACAGCTCGTAGTTTGTTTTTTAATTGTTTTGCTAATATTGGTGTTTTCAGCTGTAATGAAGTACGTTTCTATAATAACGTATAATTTGTATTTATACAAAAGCAAAAAAAAAAGACCAAGATACTGCTCGACCAATGCCGTTTAGACGGTTTTCCCTCGTCTGATTATTATTGGGTTGTATGTGTACGTGTGGAAATCCTTTTGACAACTTAATAATTTAAGAAATTCTAAAGTCTTGGTATGAAATGTGAAGTGTACTTTTTAAGATTCACGAGAATAAAACTTGCATATATTGCTAGCCAAATGGAGTTTGTTTCCCTGAAATCTTTAAACGTAAAAAATTTTGTAATGTAATGATTTTCAAGAAGGAAAGAAACAAAACAGAACAAACTTGTACTTTTAAGGAGAAGCCGAATTGTACTAGTACAAAGCCAGCTTCAGTATAACGTTCATCAACCTTTTACGTCTTCTTAGCCAGGGCTGTATTGATGGCACGCTTCCGCCATCTTACCACACCCAGTTAGCGCCACTCTATACTGATTAAATAGCGTGGTTTCTTTGAAATAAAAATATTTTTCTACAGTTGGAAGGTGATTATATTTTGTAATTTTATGAACTAATACTCACATGTAAGGTGTGGTTTTATACACCACAGGAAGATCCGACAATAGTGTATGTAATTGAACTAACGAAAAGATCTGTGGTTTGGATTTTTATAAACTCTCGTTAGATTATACTAAAAGTTATATTAGATTATTGTAAATCAGAAATATTATGCCGAAGAAAACGGTAGTGAAATTTTTCAATTACATTCACACTCAAAATGTTGTTACCAGTTCTGTTGATGCTGAATAAAGAATTATCCATATAATATTTTAAGCGCCATCAATACCTGAAAGATTAACCAACTAATTACGTGACACCGTTATATCGCTAGAAACCGGGTTTCCATACCCGTGGTGGGTAGAACACAAATAGCCCTGTGTGTTTAATAGCAAACAACAACTACGTTTAAATTGATTAGGAATATGATGCACAAAAACGTTTCGTGCAAATTTGAATAAGATTTTTCACACATTCATAAAATAAACAAAGTTTATTATTAAACAGCACACTAGTAACAGAATGTAATCAATTATCCTGCTTATGGTATTTTTTATAGCTTACTGTATTAACTATTGTAGTGTTTGAAAAAGGAAATCATCATAATTATAAAAAATATTTTCTGTTGACAAACTGAATATTGCTGTAACAATGTACTCATAAATGAAAACATCTATTTAAATTAAATAAGAGTTCTCTGAAGTATTCATAAAAACTTCAATTTACACTAGTAATTTACAACAACGCTACAAGCACATAATAGTTTTAACAGAGACCTATATAAATAACTCTTGGGGGGGGGGGATAGTGAGACTGAGTCAATACAGTTACTTGTAATACCAACAAAATATCTAAGTTGAACAAGTGAGAAGTGATCGTGCTTGGTAAAATGGATACACGTATCTTACATTAAATACAGTTTATCACTCACCAGCTTCGATGGAGTTTTATTTGTCACACGTACATCGTAGAATATACACCTAGATCGGTACATGCCTAGAATTTGCACAACACTTATCACGAGACCCTACAACATTGTATTAATACTTTTCTCTATGATAATGAAGATTATAATAATTACTTTATACAAATAATTCCAGTTTTTCGTGACATCTATTGCGTTCATTTGTATTTTCCTTAAACTATAAAGATCAGATTGCGTGCGTGTGAATGTAAAAACATTTATTTCAACAGTTAACTAAATATTAACATCAAATTTGTTCAACTTGGGGCATGATGGTGGGTAAAAGAAAATACGTGGCCTAGCTAATTAATGAATGAGTATTTGCTGTCAAATTCTTATCAATGCTATAATTGTAGCTACCAGTTTGGCTGCCAATTTTGATTTCATTCCTTTAATGCGCACATTCAATCTTTTTTTTTAGCTGCACCTTTTTTTTCACAGCTAAGATGTTTTTGGTCATATATGACTTTTTGTCAATACACACCAACAAACCACAGCAAGTAAGAAAGTGACACTCGATAGTAACCCACATTAGCTTTAAGATCGCAACCTTATTATTCGGAACAGACCTTTAATTTATAGAACAACCGGATTCTTTAAAATATATGGTGGTAGTTTTCCTCTCTAAAACAGTGTTAATAGCTTCCTTTATAGTAACGCCATGACATTTAGATTAACAGTTTCTTGCCATCACCCCATGCTATCGGTACAACCTTATCAAGCATCATTATTTATGCTAATAACACGTGACGTTAAACGCTCTTTAATTAGAATAATTTCATAGAATTTAGTAAATTTGTGCTTAAAAGATGGCAATGAATAATATCCGTTCACCGGTATGATTCTTTTGAAAACTTGAGCTAGAAACTGCTAATCTAGTTTGTTTGGCCTCACCACTACTTATGTATCTGCACGTTCTTCCACCTTAAAGTTTTGCTGTTCTAAATCAGCAGTCTTTAATTCCGATGACAAAAAAAAAACGGTCCACTATTACTCTTAGGTGAAGCTGTAATACAAAATGTTAACCCGATAGTTGATGTGACATTTTTGCATAGGCGTAAACAAAAATGTTCTACAAATTTGAGCGGTTTTTTGTTGAATAACTTTGTACACGTAGCTTATATTTACAACAAATGACACTCTTAATTGTAGGTTGAAAAGATCTACGAGTGTAACAAATTTGAAAAAAAAAAATCCATAAAAGTTAAGTATGTTTTTTCTATCAAATAACATTTCCGTACTTTTGGTGCGAAGAAAAAAAAGGAAGAAAGTCAATCAAAATTGGAGATGTTATATCATATATTTCTTAATGCATTGCCTTGAAATGTTGTATGTGAAGCAAGATTCTAGTAAAACACATCCACTGAAAATATGTTAGCTTGGATTACCACAGGCAGAGATACAGCAGGTGGAAAATCGCAAAACTATCATTTCTGTTAATAACATACAGTGTGTTCTGCAGTAGGTTGTTTTAGCCGTGTGTCTTGATTATCGGCATAAATATAAAAACCCTTATAATGGGAAGATAAAGTCTGGAAAAAAAAGTTTCAGCTTTTAGAACTATAATGGGGCTGGACTACCCACGCCAGGAGGCAAGTTTTTCTTACTCCACTCCCATGACATGATGTTATTTTCGGTTTTTTTTTTGTTTTTTTTATCATTCTACGTTTCTTTGGAGAGCAGTAACTTTCCTATAACTACCTGCAAGCAGTGAAAGGTGATACAGATGTAGGACGTTATGGGCTTAAGCAGCCAAATCTTGCTATCCTAACTTACCATTTTTTTTCCTTATTTTACGTTTATTCTTTCATTAAAATGTTATACTAGCTAATGGAGACTAAGATAGTAAGTCTGGGAGACAGTGTATTCCCACCGCAATGTGGACCCTATTTTAGCAGTCACCTTCACAATTTAGGGTACATCTTATATCCCACGTTATAGCCTGTACCCTCCCCAATGATATTTTCAATTTATACAGCTTTCTTGTTGTATGTAATCTCTCTTGTTACTGGATGCATTCTAATTGTTTTAATTCACTAGTATATTTAAGATGACCTTGCCAAAGTGAGTCCGTCAAACACCCGGAATTGAAAGGAGGCTGAAGAAGATAAAACAAGTATGACGAGTTTATGTATAAAAGGTGGAAAGACAATTGAAGGAAAGTTAGCATAGAAACCGAAGAAAGATAACAAATAGTTTTAAATATCCGAGATGTGATACATATTTAAACTGTGTTGGTTTATGTAACGTTATTTATATCCTATGGCCCCCACGTTAATTACGTGATCTCTATAGAGTTAACGATCACATCGTGGTGATTGGTCAAACGTAGCCTTCGGTAGAGTTGAATAAAATCAAGTGTAGAAGGTTAAATACTTAGGGGTGTGTTGAAGTATATACGTTTATAATGAAGAAAGTTATTTATATTCTGTACTAGCCGGGCTAGTTGTGTCAACAACCGCACCTTGGATGACAATTGACTCAGCGTAATTTATTGTTGCAAAGTATTCTATCGCTGGGCAGATTATTTTGGATTATTTAAGATAACGCCAACTTCAATCCACGTAACGATAACGAACTTATTTCTTTTATAATGTTTAGTACAGGATGCGTCCATTTTGATACATGTGTACGGTAAGTTCATAAACAACGTTTGAACACAAACTTCAAGACTAATGGTACGCCTAACATAGAAATAGACTTCTTTACATAATTTACTTGCCAATCAATTAATTGCTTAATAAACGTAATAACTCTCACCATAAACACTGAACTGAATCACTCATCAACTTCACTAACTTATTATTCATAAAGAACGTACCCTCGTCTCTAGACATTAGGCGAAGCTTCCAGATTATTACAGCATCATCGTTAGCACCTCCCTCTAACAAACTAAATTATAACATTCAAAATAAATCTTAAAACATTGTATTAGTGTTGAATAAAATGATAATTTTTAAAGTTGGAATGCTTAGGTTTGTGTTAAATTATACAAGATTAGGATAAAGAAAGTTATGCATAATTCATATCGATTATGTAATTTTTAAAACCCATTTTCACCAATATCCTTATTGAAGATTGTATAAAGAAATGGCAATATTTTAGTTAAAATGAATTGTGCTTACCACACAATTTTAAAATATTATTTTAGATGTCAGTAGAACAAAAACATATCCTATATACGATCTTCCACCATAAGCAGCGAAACAAATTTGTTTTTTTTTCTTTTTTTTTGGCGGGAAGGCACCGACGATTGGGACACCTTATTTGCTATGTTAACCGTACAGCGACTTTCCCTAGTAATTATACGCAAGTCTCAATTCAAAGGGCCACTTCGCTACCAATTCAAAACTTGAGTGGGGCAAGTTCCACACCCCACTCTCCGATTCTACCGCCTGTGTCTCTCATGTAACTGGACAAGCTATACTTGTTTTGATCCACTAAAATATTTAAGGCGACTTTGTGCTAAAACGAGTTTGTCCAATAGACAAATTTAAAGGACACTTATAAAGAGAACAAACCAAATGTGACCAATTCTTAAAAACAAAAAATAATATAAGGAAGTTAGCATAATTATTAGAAATTCGGTTAAACAAAGTTTAAAAGTACAGAATAATTTAAAGCTGTTGAAGGCATCAGGCCTTACTAAAACACCTGCATAATTCGGTAGTTCACTGACCCACCATCATCTTCAAACAAAACAACAACGCATAAACACTGATATTTATATCTTACTATTTTGCATAATACAAACACATTGACCAATCATTTTACATACATAGTGCTGCCACCTTTCATTTATCTTTTTTTTTTAAAAAAAGGATTCCCAGAAACGAATTTCTATAACTCCTGGACCTACATCTCTATTTGAAGTTAAATTTAAACTCTTAAATATTTTTTAACGATTCTATTATATTTAATTCATATTTGTTATTAGTATATTTGACAAATCTGATATTATTTCAATTAACACTATGAGAATCGGGATTCTTAGCCTGGTAAAGCCGATTCATTTATTTTTCGTTTTTCTACACCTGAGCTGTATTCTGTAAGCTTAAACTTTGGATTTCTATATTTTTGGTCCAATATAAATTAGATAGACCACAGTTACAAGAACTTTTGTAAAAGCCACACTTATCTATTAAGGTAATTTTATTTTTAAGAAAAGCCATAAAATAGTTAACGTAGAAGTAAGAACTACTAAAGTAATTTGAATTACTCAAAATCCAAAAAAAATCACCATCTTGGTTTTACAGCGGTTTTGGAATTTCCGTTTTTGTAAGCTGAAGAATTTGCATTTTTGTTATTCTTGTGATCATCGTTGTTGTCACGCCTTTTAATTCACAGTTTTCTCATGCACTTAATTTATGTGCAGCATTATGTGAAATGTATGGGCAGCGAATGCTACCTGTCACTGTCCAGTTTAATTTGATAAGTTGTAGTTTATTAATCAACATATACATCTACTGTATAAGCATGTAGGTATAATATATATACATGTCAAAATAAAAAATGGACACATTCGCATGTAATACATTACTGGTCGAACGTGTGATATTTATTAGACTGCGAGTTAAATTATAAGGTTACATTCGGTGAATACTAGTATTCTCTACAAAAATAATTTGAATTACTCAAAGTTAAAAAAAAATCACCATCTTGTATTTACAGAGTGATTTTGGATTTTCCGTTTTTGTCGGTTAAAAAACTTGTACATTTGTTATTCCTATTTTTATATCACTCAGAAGAACAGAAACGTTAACGGATTGAATCGAAACGCCGTTTCGGACCGTTGCACCTTAATTTAGGCGGCATGGCCAGTTGGTTAGGGCACTCCACTTGCAATCTGAGGGTCATAAGTTCGAATCCCCGTCCGACCAAACATGCTTGTCCTTTCAGCCGTGGGGGCGTTATAATGTGACGGTCAATCCCACCATTCGTTGGTAAAAGAGTTGGCGGAGGGTAGTGATGACTAGCTGCCTTCCCTCTAGTCTTACACGGCTAAATTAGAGGCGGCTAACGCAGATAACCCTCGTGTAGCTTTGCGCGAAATTCAAAAACAAACAAACAAACCTTAATTTAACTCCTGCTTTCAATTGTTAAAGAAAAAATTATAGTATATAGTATGTTTTTCATTTATAAAAATGTAACAAGTTTCTTTTCATCTGCTTCTATTTTCTTGGACATAACAGCACGATGGGGCTGTTGGTGTTTGTTGCACCTAAAGCTGTAATAATCGCGTGCTTCTTTAGTCGGATATACAAAAGCCACGTGTCCAGCACGTGGCAGATGTTAAGATAAATTATGTAGTAGTCCTAAAAGTTGAAGGTGGTTTAAAATATTCGCTTTCTACGAGTTGCTAATACCGTGATATTAAAAAGGACTAAGCCTTCAGGAAGAATTCAGGTTTTACACAAGTTTGCTTTTTGTTAACGAGGGTTCTCGAGGTTCTGTCGGTGTGTAATACCCAGGTTTGCTATTTGTTCATGAGGATGCTCGAGATTCTATCGGAGATGGATTAGAACAGTAGTTGTGTAAATAGAGAAATTTTAAGTAAATGTGTACCCAAGTTCTATATTTTAAGAGATGTCAGTTGTAATAGTCACAAGGACAGGTAACTTTGGTTTTTAGGTTAAGTTTAAAATTTTGAAAAAGGCAAATAACACATAAATATTTAATGTTTTAAAACCCGCAACCCATGGATAGTTCTTATATATAATTCTAACTGCCTTCTAATGGAATTTTCTTTATTCTGAGTTAGTATTTAACAATGCAGTTTTTTAAATTGCATATTTTTGTAATGATTTTTGTTACATATCTGTTAAACATTTTAGGTTACTATGTTTTTTTACACATTTTAACATTAAATATTTAATGTCTCATATTTTTACCACGTTTAGCGATTTGTACATAATTTACGGTATCAGAAACACGTAAAATTTATTATCAGTGGAGGTTAAGTTCGTAACTCTTTTTTTTTGTATAATATAAATGTTTACACTGACCTAACGCTTTAATTTTTTTATCAGATTGACTATGATAAAATCATAAATGAGTCTTTTACTTTGTTTTTGAACATTCCCACAAAGTATTTCAAGAACTATCCGTGTACAGTTGTCCCTAACAGAGACAGCAAGTCAACAGCACCCACCGCCAACTCTCGGTCTACTTTAGTTTGACTGAACAGTGGGATTTGACAGTCACCTTTATAACGCACCCATAGACTAAAAGTGTGCGGAGGCGATTGTTATTGGGTTTTTCTTTGCTCTAAGGGGACTCGAACGTTGGATTCAAAGATTCATATTCCGACATGTTTACCACTGCGAAATGCTCAGCCCTAGTTTACTTGTTTTTCAGTTTTTAGATACTAACATTTAAATATATCTTATAAAAAGCTATATTTATACAGTTTTGTTACAGTTTCGTAGTCATTTTTTTATTTCATTAAACAGTAAATAATATATTTTGATAAAAATGCAATCTTTCTTTTCAATTGAATAACCGAGATATTGATTTCTGCCTCATTAACACACCCCATACCTTTAAAATACTTTCCTACCAATCAAACTTGTGGTACAACATTTTAATAGACTCTGTTACTTTAATAGGTGAAAATGTGATTTTTTTCACTAAAGTTAAGCCCAACGTGAATGATATAGCTTCACACATTTGTCCAAAGTTATTTTGAATTTGTTTTCAAATGGTGTATATAACTTTACACAACTATATTGAACTGACACACACACACAAAACCCTGAGAAAGATCGGTTGTGTGCTTTCCCTTATATTCAAACACGAAAGGAAAAGTTAAATAATTCACCGCAACAAAGGAGGGGCTTTTCTCATGTACTCTGACAAAAAAAAAAAAAAAAAAAGAACCGGAAGTTTGTTCACAACGGACAGGTAACTTTCTCGAACTTTCAAAGGAATATAAATCTGTTCCGATCCCCGTGTTGGGTGTGTATAGAAAATGTACCATAAGAAGGCTTCAACAGATACGATCCTATTGCTTTGAGTATAACCTTTTACTACAATGTTGAATGGCGCTTCTGCAGGACTTGTAAACCTAACGATCGTGTTGCAACGACCGTTTGTAAACTTATTATTTTCAAGATATGCTCCAGCCCACAGATTTTATAGCCTGATTTTAAGTTGTTTTTTTTTATTTTGTGTGTGTGTGTGTAGTTGTTGGTTTTTTAATTGGAAAAACATAGACTGGGCAGAACCTCATATTCCATTTTCAATGAATGATTAAAACTAGCCATAAGATACAACAGCTAAAGCTTGAACAGCATAGCCATTTGCTGACGATACAGATAGAATACTACCCATCAACTTACATTTTTCAGACGTTAGTTCGTTGTATTTAATTATTTTGGATACATGTTACCGGCTTAATTACTTTTCAGAGTAATTTTAATTTTCCACTATAATTTAGATCAATATGTTTAACTGATTGTTTGTTGAAAGACTTGGTGCATAAAAACATCATGATTATGTTTGATTATTGTAGAGGCGTGACTTAATAGACAGCAGCAAGGTGCTCGCTCATTGGCTCAACTTTTAAACAATAAATCCAGAAAGATTTAAAATACAGTGAATAGTAAAAAAATACGGTCACTTCGTCGACAGATAAACCGTCGACTTAGTTTGGAACGGAGCGGTGGATTGTTGAGGGGTTGACTTGGCTAGATCGTATTCTATATGACTCTAAGTCGGTTACGAGAACAGACCATATAGGCCATTTCGCCATACCACGTGACATCTTCTGTTCAATCACAATGCTTCTATTCAGAGATTACTCCTTTTTACGAGCCTGTAAACCGTGGGAGCTCCAAAAGTGAGCCCTTCCTGTGATCCGTTCTACACAGATATAAGCTATGCTATCGTGAACTTGTCTCGGTTGTTTTCTAGTTCTAAGGACGACATGTTCCTCAAAACTCAGTTCCGAAGAGATTTTCCTATTCGACGGACTTCAAGTCAAAGGCACTATGAACCTTTGAAAATCGATGATTCAATTCAAAAACACGAGCAAATAATTCACCAACGCAAAAACTCCGCTACCGCTAAATCCGCCAACATCAATAGCCATCAGTTCAAATTTCATCCAGCTAGTCTAAGTCAACAACAGAACCATCATGACAAAACAAGAGTCCAGGGAATCGGAAGCTTTACTGATAAACAATCTTTCAAAGCGCCAGTTGGATTTCAGAAGAATAATCTCACGTTACAAGACTCAGGATATTGTACAATTATTTGTACTGATTGTGGCGAGAACCTACCAGAATCTGTATTATCCAAATTCGCTTCACCTCGCCGAACAATAACTCAACAGCGCCAGATGGAGTCAACTGCAAGTACTAAAACCAGCATGGTAAAGAAACTACAGACCAATTTCTCAATCCCTCAACAAAAAGTTGCTGAATTTCCCAACATACTTTCCAATACCAGCACTCCAAAAACTAGCGTCTTAACAAGGTGTATTACTCAAAGTAGCACAATTAGAAACCCAACTGAGGTTGTTCCTTCCTCACCCTTTGAAGAAGTTACCGTCAGAAATAAAGACGCGCTCAATTTGAAGGGCCATCAGAACTCGCATCGTCACGAAATAAGCAAATTTCCGAGAAGAAACGCTTTACCAGATAGGATAAAAACAACATCTCCAGGTTGCAGCGCGCATGATTATTCTGGTTCATTGTGCCAGTCTTTTATATCAGATTCTTCAAATGGTTCAAAAATCTGTGTGTACGATCAGTTTTCTCGAACCACAAACAGTAAGGATATTACTAAGTTACAAATTAAAACCAGAAAAGAAATATCATCTACTGAAACCAATTTCAACAGGGATGTGAATAGTGGCATTGTTTGTAATGAAAAACTTATAAACGCACTTCCCCAACAAGATCTTAGTTTGAATGTTTCCCAGACTAACAATATGTTTGTAAAACAATTTCAAGAACAACTGATGTTCAATGAAACCCTAAAGGAGAACTATGTCAACAAGGTCCTCAGGCGTCAGAATATTGAGGAAACGAAATATATACGTAAACCAGTAGTTGAACCCTCGTTGATAAAACACGAGGCTACAACAAACGATAACGATAAAAATGCGAAAATCTTGAATAATGTACATTTGGATAAAGATATATCACGTACATTCAGAGATTTATTGCTTTCCCCTAAGAACAGTTTACTTACACACAAGCAGTCTTCTAGTGTTCGACGGTGGTTAAATGATATCCGATTACACACAGAAACAGAGTCCTTAAGTGCTTTGCAAAGTAACTGCTTGACCCGTGATCCTGATATGCTGGGAGCGCTAGTTGTCTGTAAATCGTTGAGTAAGTTATTAATATTTTTATATATTCTTTATTTACTGTAATTGTGAATTAAAAGTTAGAATCACGTTGTTTAATATACTTGAACATTTACATAGTTATGAATTTTTCTCTTATTGCTATTGCTTTCCTCGCAAAACACATAGATCAATATCAATTATATAATATTTTGGCTTATTTCAACGGTAAATAGTGAGGCGTCCAAGATGCTTGCAAACCTATTCTTTTTTATTATATATTAAAAATGTTTTCTTAGTGCAAAGTTACTCAATTTCGAGGAAATTTCCTGTAATTTACAGGGCGTAGCCTAGTGGTAAGCGAGGCCGAAATATGAAACCGGAGGTTCGTGTCTCGTTGGTGCAAAGCTCACTCCACGCTTTTGTACCGTGGGTGTTCTGTAACATTAACAATCAAATCCCATTATTCAGTCAGATACAAGTAGTCTAAAGTTGGTGGTGGGTACTGTTAGTTATCTACCTTCTTTCTAGTTTATCAGTTTAAAATTCAGGACAGCTACGCGCGAGAATTCTAAACAAAGAATACTATGGCCAAAATGATAGAAATATTCTGTATTGTCTACAAATAAGAAGGAATAAAAGTGATGTAAAATAACATTTTAAGTTTATACCAAAGGTAAAGATTTTCTTTTTTCGTATAGACGCCATAGCTACACTGCAGGACAGGATCGGGGTATTCATGGCAGATTTTACTCATGTCATGAAAAATGTCAACAGGGGTCAGTGGGAGAAATTCAGATCCAATGCCATCCAAATGTGTAGCGACGTCCGTAGTTTACTTCAAAATAGCGAAAATTACACTCTAAATACGGAACCTGACGTTATCAAGGTATGTATATTAACTTTTCTCCATCAATCTACACTTATTTGATTACCAACATCAACAGTTTCCCCTACATTAAAACATATCGATTTTTTGTTTTTAGATTCAGAGTCAACTTTGGAAGGCTTGTGGCCAATTGGAAACACATTGCAAAGCGTAAGTTAATATTTTCTTATTATTATTTCATAATAGATATGCATTGTTGTTTTCTTTCTTTCTTTTTCGGAATATTTCTTCTGTGCTTATTATTTGGAAAAATAATCTCCAAGATGTTACTTAAACGCAGCTAACACAAAGGCAGGTCCAGAGACTTGGTTAAAGGGTGGTGGTAGATAAAAATGGACATATAACAATAACAAATCAATGGGTTCAATGCGACATTTTTATAAATAGAATGATGAATTATTTACAGCTAATAAATACAAACAAATCCATACAAATATTTCCACCATTTACCTAAATATATTGAATTTAATTCAACTTACTTTATTAAATATTAGAATAAATTATATCAAGTATCTAATGCCATTATTATGGTGAAATACCACTTTTAACCATAACAAAATGTACAGTATGAGATTGCTAATGTTTGATTTTGAATTGTAGTTTTGTTCACAGTGATTTTGAAAATGAAAAGACAAATCTCACAGAACAAGTCTTGAAATGTCTAAAGAAGATAGGGGAATCTTTTGAGCGATTCACAGACATTCTTTACCTGAAAGAATTAAAGGTAAGATGATTGATTCTCTCTATAGATGTCGACACCATCAATTATAGTTACAAAATGTGTATATTTTGACTGAGATGATATATTCAGATTTTTTTTCATATCTTACGACGAAGAATATAATTTACTTCTTTCTTGCAAAATAAGAAAATCTCAAATATATGGTTGCATTTTTTTTTAATTAGATGAGAACTGTGTTACGAGTAATGTTCAGAGATTGCAATATTTTGAATACATTTACGAGCTACTTTCCATATTGGAGATAACGTTAAAAAATTCAGTCTTATTTATTTTGAAATAGCTGAAATAATTGTGCTCAAAATATCGAACAATACACTTAGTCTTAAAAATCGCTCCCCAGTTAACTAGAAAGTTAAAAAGAACATTCAATGTTTCAGATCGTTGTAGAGGGCGTTGAAGAAAGCAAAAACAATTTCTGTGTCAAGAAATCAATTGCAGCGTTTATCAGTTTGGGTCAGATTGGAGAGCATATGTGCGAGCGCATAGTAAAAGTGAGTTTTCCCTTGTTAGTGGCATTTATTTGTTTGAAGCTTTTTTTACTTCTGTCAACCGGTCTTAAATATAATATGTTAGTTTCTGTAGAATAATAAGTATGAGATAAACAATTTTTTTTAAGAGCTAAAAGATAAAATTCTTCAGTATTGTACTGTTGAGTACTACACACTTGAGAGATACACTTCTAATAGTAGTAAGTACCCGTTGTTATAGCGACATAACACATACTGACTAGTTTATACCAAAGTTCATTATATACTGTAAAACCTATTTCAATACTTGTTACTACTGTATTATTTACTCTTCCCTAACCTTCTACTCTTTTATTCATATTAAGCAGAAAATTGTGTCACTTAACATATACATTTTTTTCTAAAGTAATAAATGTAATTAATCTTCAGGTTGGTGGAGTTAGAGCTTTAGTTACATTGTGTGTGGAGCGAAAGTGGCGCCATCTTCAAATAGCCGCTCTTCGTGCGTTGACAATCTTATGCTGTGTTCCTTCTGCAGTTCAACAGATGGAGGAGGTAGTGTATATTTTCTTTGGAGTAATCTGCCCTACTGGTGTATCTTAAGTTATACTTATAGTATATATTACAAAACAATAAATTTAATATCTCAAGTTTGCAGTAACAAAGACTGATACGAATTAGCATTTTTGTAGGGAAAATTACAGACTATTTACTACTACTACTAGCGTTACTAATACTACTACATTGTGTTAATTTTTACATGCATGCAGGGCTGTCGAAAGCGAACTTGTGCTTCTGGGTATTTAGAGAATGTATGTCCTAGCCAAACCTTATACATGTCCCATTCTGCCTGTTTCATGATACTAGGCTCTTTTGATTCATTTTTGGTGGGCGCCTTAGTTATCTCTGAACACCGGTTAAGTGCAACTGAAGGCTAAACCACTGTTGCATCTCCATTCGTTAGTTAATTTTCCGTAACTACGTTCCAACGAAACTTTAGCGACACAAGTCC